AAATTATTAATTTTTTCATTAACATTAGTGAAAATAATGCATCTTTAAACATATAAGAGAAAATTTTAGAAAGGACCTAACTGATAAATGGCCAATTTTACCTATTCTGCATGACATATGTACAGCCTCTCCTCACTTAGTGACGTACTCGTTTACCGACGACTTGGACTTACGATGGGCTCTCTGACCCATTTGCCTACCTAAATAATGTATAGAGTTGATTTATTCTATTCTGCTTATTAGAATATACAGTACAATACTGTATAAACATTTCAGTACATACCAGAAATGTTATAAATGTATCAGAGGTGACATTAAAACAATATCAGATGGCTGACACAAACTCACTACCATTATAGGATGCTCCTCATTTAGCGACGAATATGTTTACTGATGGGGTCTTAAGAATGGAAGTCTTTCGTTAAGTGAGGAGAGGCTGTATACAGCAGGGCCCAGCTTTACGGCGTTCCAATAATACAGCAGAGGCTGTATACAGCAGAGCCCAGCTTTACGGCGTTCCAATAATACGGCAGAGGCTGTATATAGCAGGGCCCAGCTTTATGGCGTTCCAATAATATGGCAGAGGCTGTATACAGCAGGGCCCAGCTTTACGGCGTTCCAATAATACGGCAGAGGCTGTATACAGCAGGGCTCAGCTTTACGGCGTTCCAATAATACGGCAGAGGCTGAATACAGCAGGGCCCAGCTTTACGGCGTTCCAATAATACGGCAGAGGCTGTATATAGCAGGGCCCGGCTTTACGGCGTTCCAATAATATGGCAGAGGCTATATATAGCAGGGCCCAGCTTTACGGCGTTCCAATAATACGGCAGAGGCTATATATAGCAGGGCCCAGCTTCACGGCGTTCCAATAATACGGCAGAGGCTGTATATAGCAGGGCCCAGCTTTACGGCGTTCCAATAATACGGCAGAGGCTATATATAGCAGGGCCCAGCTTCACGGCGTTCCAATAATACAGCAGAGGCTGTATATAGCAGGGCCCAGCTTTACGGCGTTCCACTAATAGGGCAATTTCAAATTATGACAAACTTGCCATATGGCTCCCGGTCTTTCTAATATGGCACGCCCCACCCAGTCTGTTTACATTCTCTATGAGCACATCTATTATATGTGGAAACTTCACAAAATTTCAAGTATTTTAAAGCTACTGCGTATTTTAAATGTACTCTGGTAATTATACTTACGTGTACCCATACCTAAATATCCTTACACACTGTGCTGGCGTGCAGGTACATATTAAAATCACAAAGTCTCTCCATTCTTGATGCTATATTAATAATACGTGTTATCTCTTGGGCACATAAAATGTTGGAGTGTGAGCAAAGTGACATTTATGAAGGGGTTCAGGGAAACCGGCAGGCCGGACTTGAGTCCTGGAGATGGGAAGTACAGTGCCTGCACTCTGAAGGAGGGGTGTTAATGTTGCAGTTTAAAAACTGTAGTGTAAAGCACCCTTCTGGCAAGACAGTGATGGAGTGAATGATGGTGAAAGTTTTTCTTTTTCGGGCCACCCTGCCTTGGTGGGCCACCCTGCCTTGGTGGGCCACCCTGCCTTGGTGGGCCACCCTGCCTTGGTGGGCCACCCTGCCTTGGTGACCACCCTGCCTTGGTGGACCACCCTGCCTTGGTGGGCCACCCTGCCTTGGTGGGCCACCCTGCCTTGGTGGGCCACCCTGCCTTGGTGGGCCACCCTGCCTTGGTGGGCCACCCTGCCTTGGTGGACCACCCTGCCTTGGTGGGCCACCCTGCCTTGGTGGGCCACCCTGCCTTGGTGGGCCACCCTGCCTTGGTGGACCACCCTGCCTTGGTGGGCCACCCTGCCTTGGTGGGCCACCCTGCCTTGGTGGGCCACCCTGCCTTGGTGGGCCACCCTGCCTTGGTGGGCCACCCTGCCTTGGTGGGCCACCCTGCCTTGGTGGGCCACCTGCCTTGGTGGGCCACCTGCCTTGGTGGGCCACCCTGCCTTGGTGGACCACCCTGCCTTGGTGGACCACCCTGCCTTGGTGGACCACCCTGCCTTGGTGGACCACCCTGCCTTGGTGGACCACCTTGCACTTGTGGTAGCCAGTAGACTTGTAGCACTTGCGGTAGCCAGTGGACTTGTAGCACTTGCGGTAGCCAGTGGACTTGTAGCACTTGCGGTAGCCAGTGGACTTTTAACACTTGCGGTAGCCAGTGGACTTGTAGCACTTGCGGTAGCCAGTGGACTTGTAGCACTTGCGGTAGCCAGTGGACTTGTAGCACTTGCGGTAGCCAGTGGACTTGTAGCACTTGCGGTAGCCAGTGGACTTGTAGCACTTGCGGTAGCCAGTGGACTTGTAGCACTTGCGGTAGCCAGTGGACTTGTAGCACTTGCGGTAGCCAGTGGACTTGTAGCACTTGCGGTAGCCAGTGGACTTGTAGCACTTGCGGTAGCCAGTGGACTTGTAGCACTTGCGGTAGCCAGAGGACTTGTAGCACTTGCGGTAGCCAGTGGACTTGTAGCACTTGCGGTAGCCAGTGGACTTGTAGCACTTGCGGTAGCCAGTGGGACTTGTAGCACTTGCGGTAGCCAGTGGACTTGTAGCACTTGCGGTAGCCAGTGGACTTGTAGCACTTGCGGTAGCCAGTGGACTTGTAGCACTTGCGGTAGCCAGTGGACTTGTAGCACTTGCGGTAGCCAGTGGACTTGTAGCACTTGCGGTAGCCAGTGGACTTGTAGCACTTGCGGTAGCCAGTGGACTTGTAGCACTAGCGGTAGCCAGTGGACTTGTAGCACTAGCGGTAGCCAGTGGACTTGTAGCACTAGCGGTAGCCAGTGGACTTGTAGCACTTGCGGTAGCCAGTAGACTTGTAGCACTTGTGGTAGCCAGTAAACTTGTAGCACTTGCGGTAGCCAGTAGACTTGTAGCACTTGCGGTAGCCAGTAGACTTGTAGCACTTGCGGTAGCCAGTAGACTTGTAGCACTTGCGGTAGCCAGTAGACTTGTAGCACTTGCGGTAGCCAGTAGACTTGTAGCACTTGCGGTAGCCAGTAGACTTGTAGCACTTGCGGTAGCCAGTAGACTTGTAGCACTTGCGGTAGCCAGTAGACTTGTAGCACTTGCGGTAGCCAGTAGACTTGTAGCACTTGCGGTAGCCGGTAGACTTGTAGCACTTGCGGTAGCCAGTAGACTTGTAGCACTTGCGGTAGCCAGTAGACTTGTAGCACTTGTGGTAGCCAGTAGACTTGTAGCACTTGTGGTAGCCAGTAGACTTGTAGCACTTGTGGTAGCCAGTAGACTTGTAGCACTTGTGGTAGCCAGGCAACTTGTAGCACTTGTGGTAGCCAGGCAACTTGTAGCACTTGTGGTAGCCAGGCAACTTGGAGCACTTGTGGTAGCCAGGCAACTTGGAGCACTTGTGGTAGCCAGGCAACTTGTAGCACTTGTGGTAGCCAGGGAAATTGTAGCACTTGTGGTAGCCAGGCAACTTGTAGCACTTGTGGTAGCCAGGCAACTTGTAGCACTTGTGGTAGCCAGTAGACTTGTAGCACTTGTGGTAGCCAGTAGACTTGTAGCACTTGTGGTAGCCAGTAGGCTTGTAGCACTTGTGGTAGCCAGTAGGCTTGTAGCACTTGTGGTAGCCAGTAGACTTGTAGCACTTGTGGTAGCCAGTAGACTTGTAGCACTTGTGGTAGCCAGTAGACTTGTAGCACTTGTGGTAGCCAGTAGACTTGTAGCACTTGTGGTAGCCAGTAGACTTGTAGCACTTGTGGTAGCCAGTAGACTTGTAGCACTTGTGGTAGCCAGTAAACTTGTAGCACTTGTGGTAGCCAGTAAACTTGTAGCACTTGTGGTAGCCAGTAAACTTGTAGCACTTGTGGTAGCCAGTAGACTTGTAGCACTTGCGGTAGCCAGTAGACTTGTAGCACTTGTGGTAGCCAGTAGACTTGTAGCACTTGTGGTAGCCAGTAGACTTGTAGCACTTGCGGTAGCCAGTAGACTTGTAGCACTTGTGGTAGCCGAGACTTAGCACTTGTGTACATAATTGTCACTTGTGGTAGCCAGTAGACTTGTAGCACTTGTGGTAGCCAGGCAACTTGTAATCCAACATGAGAGAAAATGTGTGACGATAATATTACTGGGGGTAACTAGAAAATTATTCCTTTCGTATGCCTTCACTCAGAGCATCATTTCTAAAAATGGCGTTACATGAGAATGGGAGTGTTTCTCTTTATTTATTCTACTGTATCAACATGGAGACAACTTGTACACAATATAAAGTGTTTGTATTATGGTACAATACAAACTTGTATCAACAAACACCAGACGAGTTCGCCTGGTTTGTTTACATTACGTGGGGGTGGGGTGGGGGGGAGGGGGGTGGGGGGGAGGGGGGTGGGGGGCTGCCCTGGCTTTCTACCATACTTCCCAACCTGACGTCCTACAAAAAAAACTCACCTCTCACCCTACATTAAAACTACAAATATTTTAAGGTAAGTAATGGGTGTACTGTGTGTGTATTCTAGTTTTTACTGTTTTTAAGGCCTAGTTCTATTGCTAACTTAGTGTAAACTTGTTACCTGGCATTTACAATGGTGCTTCGGGATACGAACACCTCCCAACTCGAACAATTATGTAAGTGTATTTATGTAAGTGTTTTTGTAAGTGCATTTTTGGGAGTCTGAAATGGACTAATCTAATTTATATTATTCCTTATGGGAACAAATTCATTTGGTGTTGGCACTTGAACAGCCTTCTGGAACGAATTAAGTTCGTATCCCGAGGTGCCACTGTATATGCATTCATAAGTGGAAAAAATGGCATTCTGCTTTCTGGTGATCTCAGCTTTGCAGCGGTAACCTGGAGCCTAACCTGCCATGTAAGTGGGGCCCTACTGTATATATATATAACATCTTGATATACCCACACAATCAAAATCAATCACTCTCTCCCTCTCTCACACACACAAAAGGGGACTGACTACCTCGACGATCAACAACACGAGTGGTACTGACCTTGCCTGGGTCAACTGGACAATCACTGAGGTGAACCACGGGACCAGGATGTGTCTTCCTGCTTCTGAAATATATACATTTTCCATTAATAATAATAGATAGACAGATAGATATGGCCTTGTTTTGCTTCCACACTCGTATTGCTGTTTATGTATAGTGCTGGTTCATCAGGTTTCAAGTCTACCAGTTGGTTGATTTTTTAGGTTCAGTGTATTGAACAAACATATGTACCAGATATATAGAATAGATATAACTACCACACATACCAGACAAATACCACAGGAGAATGGTGGTAGTGGTACCAAGACTGTGAACCAAATTTCCCACTGGACCACTGGTACACCAGGCTTGTGAACCAAGTCTCCCACTGGACCACTGGTACACCAGGCTTGTGAACCAAGTCTCCCAGTGGACCACTGGTACACCAGGCTTGTGAACCAAGTCTCCCAGTAGACCACTGGTACACCAGGCTTGTGAACCAAGTCTCCCAGTAGACCACTGGTACACCAGGCTTGTGAACCAAGTCTCCCAGTAGACCACTGGTACACCAGGCTTGCAAACTAAGTCTCCCAGTGGACCACTGGTACACCAGGCTTGTGAACCAAGTCTCCCAGTGGACCACTGGTACACCAGGCTTGTGAACCAAGTCTCCCAGTGGACCACTGGTACACCAGGCTTGTGAACCAAGTCTCCCAGTGGACCACTGGTACACCAGGCTTGTGAACCAAGTCTCCCAGTGGACCACTGGTACATCAGGCTTGTGAACCAAGTCTCCCACTGGACCACTGGTACACCAGGCTTGTGAACCAAGTCTCCCAGTGGACCACTGGTACACCAGGCTTGTGAACCAAGTCTCCCAGTGGACCACTGGTACACCAGGCTTGTGAACCAAGTCTCCCAGTGGACCACTGGTACACCAGGCTTGTGAACCAAGTCTCCCACTGGACCACTGGTACACCAGGCTTGTGAACCAAGTCTCCCACTGGACCACTGGTACACCAGGCTTGTGAACCAAGTCTCCCACTGGACCACTGGTACACCAGGCTTGTGAACCAAGTCTCCCACTGGACCACTGGTACACCAGGCTTGTGAACCAAGTCTCCCACTGGACCACTGGTACACCAGGCTTGTGAACCAAGTCTCCCACTGGACCACTGGTACACCAGGCTTGTGAACCAAGTCTCCCACTGGACCACTGGTACACCAGGCTTGTGAACCAAGTCTCCCACTGGACCACTGGTACACCAGGCTTGTGAACCAAGTCTCCCACTGGACCACTGGTACACCAGGCTTGTGAACCAAGTCTCCCAGTGGACCACTGGTACACCAGGCTTGTGAACCAAGTCTCCCAGTGGACCACTGGTACACCAGGCTTGTGAACCAAGTTTCCCAGTGGACCACTGGTACACCAGGCTTGTGAACCAAGTCTCCCACTGGACCACTGGTACACCAGGCTTGTGAACCAAGTCTCCCACTGGACCACTGGTACACCAGGCTTGTGAACCAAGTCTCCCACTGGACCACTGGTACACCAGGCTTGTGAACCAAGTCTCCCAGTGGACCACTGGTACACCAGGCTTGTGAACCAAGTCTCCCGGTGGACCACTGGTACATCAGGCTTGTGAACCAAGTCTCCCAGTGGACCACTGGTACACCAGGCTTGTGAACCAAGTCTCCCACTGGACCACTGGTACACCAGGCTTGTGAACCAAGTCTCCCACTGGACCACTGGTACATCAAGCTTGTGAATCAAGTCTTCAAAATGATAGGCTGGATAACCAGAACCTTCAAAATGATAGGCTGGATAACCAGAACCTTCAAAATGATAGGATGGATAACCAGAACCTTCAAAAGATAGGCTGGATAACCAGAACCTTCAAAATGATAGGATGGATAACTAGAACCTTCAAAATGATAGGATGGATAACCAGAACCTTCAAAATGATAGGATGGATAACTAGAACCTTCAAAATGATAGGATGGATAACTAGAACCTTCAAAATGATAGGCTGGATAACTATTGGTGGTAGTAGTGGTAGCTGTGGTAGTAATTACATCACGGCATGCAAGTAACTTCAAGCTAGGTTACAGAAAGCAGTGCTAACTTAGATGTTAGATTTTCTCTCTCTCTCTCTCTCTCTCTCTCTCTCACACACACATATGCACGTGCGTGCAAACACACAACACCAGTGTAGTTAGTACTCACAATACAACACAACTAACACCACAGTACAACACAACACCACAGTACAACACAATACCACAACACAACAACTAATACCACAACACAATACTTACAGTTCAATAGCCTTGTTCCAGTTAACAATATAACCAGACAGGTGGAACACTTCAATATTAACAACATGTATGTTGCCTCTCTCAGTACCAACATACAACCACTTGCTGAGGAAGGGTAGGTGAAGACAAGTGATTCTGCAACAATACAGTAACAATTATCATTATATCAATAAAAATCATAAAAATAATACATTACAATAACAAAAATTATATTATAAAGAATTACAATAATTATTATAATACAGTGAACCCTCGGTTTTCCCGAGTCTCTGTTTTCGTGAAGTTCTGTTATCATTAACTTTTTTTCGTCAAAATGTAGCCTCTGTTTTCGTGATTTCGCTCTGATTTTGGGAGTCATACGGAACGTGTCCCAGTGACCACATGCACACAAAGCTTCCCATACATGCATTCTCAGTCAGTGTGGCATTGTTTCTCGGCGAGTGAGCATCACCCCACGCATTCATGCAACACATTTCGTAATAATCCATTATTTTTTTGTGCTTGCAACTGCTAAATAAGCCACCATGTGACCAGAATATGTCCAAGAGAAGGATTTTGAAGGGCTTAGGGCTGACCCTGTCGACCCTACGCCTGTTGTGGAATGTATTGTGGGATTGGAGAAGTCCATGGGGTTGAATGTGTGTGGCAAAGATGAGGAGAACTACAGTGAAGAGCTGCAAGAACTTCATCTGTAACACCAACAGAGAACAGCTGAGGAGGAGGAGGAGGAAGAGAAAGGGAAGAAGGTGCGTTCTTCAGTGATTAACCCTTTAACTGTCCAAACGTAGATCTACGTTCACTCGCGGAGGAAGAGAAAGGGAAGAAGGTGCGTTCTTCAGTGATTAACCCTTTAACTGTCCAAATGTAGATCTACGTTCACTCGCGTAGCGCTTCGAACGTACATCTACGTTCGATTTTACATGCTTTCTTACGTAAAAAAAGGTAGATCTACGTTCGGAGGGCTACGCAAGCAGATGTAGATCTATGTTTGGACAGTTTAAGGGTTAAGGACATGTGTGCAAAGTGGAGTGAGGTGTAAACATTTGTGGAGGAACATCATCCTAACAAAGCTGTTGCAACCCTTGTCTGCAACATGTTCAATGACAATGCCACATCCCATTTTAGGCAAATCTTAAAGAGACACCAGAAACAGAGCTCTCTGGAACAATTTTTTGAACGACAGGGGTCCAGTGACTCAAGGTGGTCCTAGTGCCATTAAAAAACAAAGAAGGGAACCCCCAAATAAGGACTTGGTACCTAAGTCTTTATGGAAAGGGATTCCCCTTCCAAACAATAATCAGTCCTCCCTCTCCCCTCCTCCCGTCTTCCATACGCCAACAAGAGTCTTCAATAAAGGTAAGTGTGATGTTAAATGTTCATTTATACGTTTTATTATTGCTTTATATTGATCTGTCATTCTTTTCTGTATGCAAATCTATATTTAATCTCTAAAAAAAATATATTTTGCTAATACTTTTGGGTGTCGGGAACGGATTAATTGGATTTACATTATTTCTTATGGAGAAAATGATATCAGTTTTCGTCAAACTCTCTGGAACAGATTAATCACAAAAACCGAGGGTTTTTGTGATTACTGTAATTACAATAATAATTACAATACTCATATTACAATAATTATTACAATAATAATTTCAATAATTATAATATTTACAATGTTAAAATTACAATAAATTATATTTACATTATTAATTACAATTACAACAATATTACAAAAAGATTAATATTACAATAAGAATAATAATTACAATAATTATATTAAAATAATCAATAATTTAATAAGGTTTGATCCAATGAGGTGGAGTAGCTCCACCTCCTTGGATCTAGAGCCCTCCCCCAAACACAATTCCACAATTCTGGACCGAATTTCAGACCATGGTGGACCGGGAGGTGAAACTGGTCCAGGCTGGACCAAAATTATTTTTTTGATAATTTGTGAGTTTGAATTAGAATTTGAGAATTGTATTGGAAGGAGACTTTGATTTAGATATTTTTAGAGATAGAGAGATAGAGAGAGAGAGAGAGAGAGAGAGAGAGAGAGAGAGAGAGAGAGAAAGAGAGAGCTGTCAATAAAGCTAGGGATCCTTAACCTTGTCAAACCCTGTGTAAAAAAAAAAAGAGAGAGAGAGAGAGAGAGAGACACTAGTAAACATATGGATGGAAATACTCTCTCTCTCTCTCTCTCTCTCTCTCTCTCTCTCACAACACTTACCTCTCTCTCTGGAACTTAAGAGAGTGCACAATCTCTGGTCTCTTCTGTCTATAGTTCCACAAATGGATAAAGTCATCAGCGGTCGCAGTAACCAGAGCTCCTTCATTTATAAGGAACAGCAGATGGAGTACAGCAGCCTCGGACTCGTGGCGTACATGTACGTCAACTCCTGGACGACCAATGCTGTACGCACACGTTAAGGAAAATGTACATGACCAGGGAAGATACGTACATGGGCAAGATATCTCACTTACATGGAACTGTTTCAAAGCGTACATGAGGATTGTAAGTGTACATGCATATTATAAATGTATGTGGATAAGAAAAACGCACATAAGGGAGGTATCCCACATGCATGGCCTTGTTTAAAGGCACCTAGGAGAATGTGTACATACATGGGAAACAGAAAACATACATGTGGAAGAATAATTACGTACATGGTTATACAGTGGAACCTCAAAAATCGAACTTAATACGTTCCAGGAGTTAGTTCTAAATTTGAAAAGTCTGAAATTCGAGGCAATATTTCCCATAAGAAATAATGGAAATACAATTAATCCGTTCCAGAAACCCAAAAATATTCACACAAAAAATACATTTTATAGAGATTAATACAGTTTTAGATACAACAAATACTACAGTTTTTAATTATGTATAGTAATACATATAAAATAACATTTTTACTTACCTTTATTGAAGATTGGTGATGGCATCTGGAAGATAGGGAGGAGGAGAGAGGGAGTTGGGGTTAGTGTTTGGAAGAAGAATCCCCCTCCATGAGGACTTCAGGTAAAGCCCTCTCTGGGGTTACTTCCCTTCTCTGTCTTTTAATGCCACTAGGACCAGCTTGACAGTCACTGGACCCCTGTCTCACAAAATAACTGTCCACAGTCCTCTGTTTCTGGCGCCTCTTTAACATTTCCCTAAAATGGGACATGGTTCTGTCACTGAACTTGTTGCAAAGATGGCTTGTTTCAGCTTGCTCAGGGTGGTACTTCTCCACAAACATTTGGACATCATTCCACTTGGCACAAATCTCCTTAATCTTTGAAGAAGGCACCTCATCCACTCCCTATATTGACACCTTTCACAACATCAGCTTCCTTGATTTGTTCTTTCTTTGCCAGGATAGAAATGATGGTCGACTTGTTTTTCCCATACATCCTGGCAAGCTCAACAAGTCTCACACCACTCTCATACTTCTGTATTATTTCCTTCTTCACATCTATGGTGTTTCTCACTCTTTACCACAGGGGTACCACTAGCAAGTTTCTTTGGGCCCATGGCAGCTTATTTCACAGTCCCACAAGCACTAAACACAACGAAATAATCGTAAAATGTGTGAATGAGAGCGCAGGTTATTGTTCACTCAAGCATAAACAAAGCTAGACTGCTCACGGCGCCTGCGCGGGGATGCAGACAGAGCGGGCAGCAGACGGGTCCCGTACCCGGCGGTCCGAAAATAGGGGCGCGTTCAATAATAGGGACACAGTTTGTCCAAAAAATTATCCTATTTTCGAAACGTTCGATATGTGATACGTTCGATTTTTGAGGTTCCACTTTATGTACAATAATTACATATATATACAGGTGTATATACACCGAGAGGTATGATAAATTAGACACATGTGCAACTCTTGGGTATCTTTATTGAGGAAACGTTTCGCCACACAGTGGCTTCATCAGTCCATACATAGGAGAAACTTGAAGAACAGGAGGAGAATGAGGTAATCAGTCCCTCAACCTTGAGTCGATGAGTTCAGTCCATCAATCTTGAATAGAATACGGCATATCAGCGGAGAAGCAGCTTATAAACCGTATGGCAGGAGAGGTGCAGCAGTCATAGGTCGTGTCACATTTGTTCAATGTGGAAGTAGGTCGTGCCCAAGAATTAGGCAAGCGAAGAATTCCTAAGTATTAAGATCCCAAGAAGTTGCAGTGTCTGACAGGTTTGTAGATGAATCTACAAACCGAGAGGTATATATATCAGTGTATACATTGAGAGGTGTATATCATCTACATTCCTGTCCAACACAGCAACATCTTGGGATCATAATACAGGGAATTCTTCGCTTGCCTAACCCCTGGGCACGACTTACTTCCACACTGGACAAATGTGACACCACCTACGACTGCTGCACCTCACCTGCCTACAGTATATAAGCTACTTCTTCGTACATATGCTGTATTCTCATCAAGATTGATGGACTGATTACCTCAAACTCCTCCTGTTCTTCACCATTCTCCTTTGTATGGACTGATGAAGCCACTGTGTGGCGAAACATTTCCTTATTACAGATACCCAAGTGTTGCACATGTGTAATTTATCAACTTGTCGGGTCTCTGAACCATTTATCTATATCAGTGTATACACCGAGAAGCGTACGTCCGTGTATACACCGAGAAGCGTACGTCCGTGTATACACCGAGAAGCGTACGTCCGTGTATACACCGAGAAGCGTACGTCCGTGTATACACCGAGAAGCGTACGTCCGTGTATACACCGAGAAGCGTACGTCCGTGTATACACCGAGAAGCGTACGTCCGTGTATACACCGAGAAGCATACATCCGTGTATACACCGAGAAGCGTACGTCCGTGTATACACCGAGAAGCATACGTCCGTGTATACACCGAGAAGCGTACGTCCGTGTATGCACCGAGAAGCGTACGTCCGTGTATGCACCAAGAAGCGTACGTCCGTGTATACACCGAGAAGCGTACGTCAGTGTATACACAGAGAAGCGTACGTCAGTGTATACACCGAGAAGTGTATGTCAGTGTATACACAGAGAAGCGTACGTCAGTGTATACACAGAGAAGCGTACGTCAGTGTATACACCGAGAAGCGTACGTCAGTGTATACACCGAGAAGCGTACGTCAGTGTATACACAGAGAAGCGTACGTCAGTGTATACACCAAGAAGCATACGTCAGTGTATACACCGAGAAGCATACGTCAGTGTATACACCGAGAAGCGTACGTCAGTGTATACACCGAGAAGCGTACGTCAGTGTATACACCGAGAAGCGTACGTCAGTGTATACACCGAGAAGCGTACGTCAGTGTATACACCGAGAAGCGTACGTCAGTGTATACACCGAGAAGCGTACGTCAGTGTATACACAGAGAAGCGTACGTCAGTGTATACACAGAGAAGCGTACGTCAGTGTATGCACAGAGAAGCGTACGTCAGTGTATACACAGAGAAGCGTACGTCAGTGTATACACAGAGAAGCGTACGTCAGTGTATACACAGAGAAGCGTACGTCAGTGTATACACAGAGAAGCGTACGTCAGTGTATACACCGAGAAGCGTACGTCAGTGTATACACCGAGAAGCGTACGTCAGTGTATACACAGAGAAGCGTACGTCAGTGTATACACAGAGAAGCGTACGTCAGTGTATACACAGAGAAGCGTACGTCAGTGTATACACAGAGAAGCGTACGTCAGTGTATACACCGAGAAGCGTACGTCAGTGTATACACCGAGAAGCGTATGTCAGAGTATACACAGAGGTGTATATCAGAGTATACACAGTATTACAACAACAATTGGCCTTCCATTAGCGTCATAATATAAAAATTCTGGATACAAAATAAACATTAAAATAAATTAATCTCTAATATCATATATATATATATATATTATATATATATATATATATATATATATATATAATATATATATATACATTGTTCCCGTGTCTCACGACACTTATGACGCTCTGTGTCACTTGACACTTGTCTGTGTCACACGACACTTGTCCGTGTTGTTACGCTACTTCTCAACCGTGTCACTTGACACTTGTCTGTGTCACACGACACTCCTGCTGTCCTTGTCACACTTGACACCTTTGTCTCTGCGTCACACTGTCACCCGCATAGCGTCTTTCTTCTCAGAGGCCACTGTCACATGACACTGTCAGTGTACACTACAATCGTACCTTATTCAGTGTCACACGACTCCCTTTTCTTCTCAGTGTTCCACTACGATCCCATCCTTTCTCAGTGTTCCACTACGATCCCATCCTTTCTCAGTGTTCCACTACGATCCCATCCTTTCTCAGTGTTCCACTACGATCCCATCCTTTCTCAGTGTTCCACTACGATCCCATCCTTTCTCAGTGTTCCACTACGATCCCAGCCTTTCTCAGTGTTACACTACGATCCCAGCCTTTCTCAGTGTTACACTACGATCCCAGCCTTTCTCAGTGTCACACTCCAGCGTTATCTTCATACAGTGTCACACTACAGTGTTATCTACATACAGTGTCACACTACAACCTTATCTACATACAGTGTCACACTACAACCTTATCTACATACAGTGTCACACTACAGTGTCAGCATGACTTGGACCACAGTTGACTAGCGTCGGTGGCGAGTCCGTAAACATCACCTACAATTGTACTCCTTGGTAGTCTTGTAAGTACTCTCTAAGACCAGTTGATATACACCGTAAGATGGTCTGGTGAGTACTGTCTCTAAGACCAGTTGATATACACCGTAAGATGGTCTGGTGAGTACTGTCTCTAAGACCAGTTGACATACACCGTAAGATGGTCTGGTGAGTACTGTCTCTAAGACCAGTTGATATACACCGTAAGATGGTCTGGTGAGTACTGTCTCTAAGACCAGTTGATATACACCGTAAGATGGTCTGGTGAGTACTGTCTCTAAGACCAGTTGATATACACCGTAAGATGGTCTGGTGAGTACTGTCTCTAAGACCAGTTGATATACACCGTAAGGTGGTCTGGTGAGTACTGTCTCTAAGACCAGTTGACATACACCGTAAGATGGTCTGGTGAGTACTGTCTCTAAGACCAGTTGATATACACCGTAAGTGGTCTGGTGAGTACTGTCTCTAAGACCAGTTGATATACACCGTAAGGTGGTCTGGTGAGTACTGTCTCTAAGACCAGTTGATATACACCGTAAGATGGTCTGGTGAGTACTGTCTCTAAGACCAGTTGATATACACCGTAAGGTGGTCTGGTGAGTACTGTCTCTAAGACCAGTTGAATACACCGTAAGATGGTCTGGTGAGTACTGTCTCTAAGACCAGTTGATATACACCGTAAGGTGGTCTGGTGAGTACTGTCTCTAAGACCAGTTGATATACACCGTAAGATGGTCTGGTGAGTACTGTCTCTAAGACCATGATACACCTAAGA